AGAAATAAAAAAAAAAAAAAAAAAACTATTTAAAAAAAAAAAAAACTATTTAAAAAAAGAGTTAGGCTAGATGCTAAACAGGGAAGAGTAAAGAAAGGATTTTTATAAGTAGAATTTTAAAAGGCTCCTTTTCAGGGAAGCTAGAAAAACAGTTTCCTTCCCCATCCTACTGTTTCTGCACTGAAAAAAGTAAGATGGCTGGTCAAGGGTGAGGTCTAAGGAAAGTTCTGTGTGATGTTCCTCTTCAGTTGGCTGACGTCCACATTAAAAATATACCTGCTTGCTTGGTGGTGGCAAATGGGGGCCTTTATCTTGGTTTCCGTGGGTAGACACTGAGGCCATGGTGACTTTGTCTCTGCTTCTCCTCCAGTTGAGTATATTCAGCTTCTTCGCTGGCCCGAGGTCTAAGGAAAGTAGAAGGGAGTCACTAGGCCATGGCTGAATGGTTAAGCCAACCTTAAAAGCACCCTGAGTATCAACTCACCAATTTGGAAAACTTATTTTCATTCTGTCATTAATCTTCATCTCCAACCACCTGCAGACTCACATTCTAATACTTCTTCCCCAGCAACACACACAAATTAACTCGCTGTAGCGACAGATTAGGTTTAGAGTGTAGTGAAATGACACTATGCACAGGGCTGGGCTACTACTTAAAAACTGTGTCCTAAAAAAAGTTTCAATTCATTACAAGGTCACTAGGCATGACAAATATTTATGGAGTGCCTACTGTGTGTCAGGCCGGGCAATACAAAGCTGAATAAGACGAGTCAGTGCTGAAGGAGCTACTGGTCTAAAGGGGGAGAAAGACAAGTCAGCAGTTATACAATAGGCCAACGGCTCACTTACAGGTACGTACGGGGTACTAAGGAAGGAGAAAGAAAGGTCTGTTCTCTCCAGTCAGTTCTGAAGACCCCAAAGACTAAGATTTTTGAGCATTCAAGGGGTGGATGGACTCCAGGGGCAGGAAGACCAGTCTGGAAGGTAGTATGTTGTCCAGCCAAGGAACTGAAAAGACCTGAACCAAGACCACAGGGAAGGATAGAGATGACAAATGGGCGTATACATTGGAATTAGCCAACAGGAATCAGAATATCTGATAATTTGGGTCTGGAGTTACAGAGTAGGGACAGGCTGAAAAGATGAATTTGAGAGTTGCCATCGTAAAGATAACAGGTAAAGCAAGAACCATGAATAAAATTATCTACAAAGAGTATTGGAAAATGTAAACTTTGAGGCTAAGGAAATACCACCAAGAGAAGAAAAACAAAACAGAACAGGACATCGGGGCGCCTGGGTGGCTTAGTCGGTTAAGCGTCCGACTTTCGCTTAGGTCATGATCTCGCGGTTTGTGGGTTCGAGCCCCGTGTCGGGCTCTGTGCTGACTGCCAGCTCAGAGCCTGGAGCCTGTTTCAGTCTGTGACTCCCTCTCTCTCTGACCCTCCCCTGCTCACGCTGTCTCTCTCTCTCTCTCCTAGAAATAAATAAAACATTTAAAAAAAAAAAAAAAAAAACAGAACAGGACAAGGAAATGACCGAGAAGGAAGAATGGATGCAGAAGGGTAGGAACTTCTAAAAGGAGAGAATGACTTATCAGTATCACTTGGGCTCAGAAAAGTGATCTGGCAATGATGGCCATAGTCAGATGAGCCACACACCCTCCCAACCCACCCTTCACCCCAACAATGCCCAGTACCCTCTATAGCCCTGGATCCTATGAGTACTCTTGATTTCCCTGCAAAGTAAATATCATACACATTTCCGTTTCCTACTGAACTGCCAGGCCTCCAAGCCAAGGGGACTCAGTTATACCAGGTTTCTCTTCAGATATCTAATATTCTAGAGGTAGCATGATGACACCCTACAGTGGAAAGTCCTGAAACCAGAGACCTGAGTTCAGATCCTGGCTCTACTCCTCACTAGCCTTGTGCTTTGGGGCAAGTGATTTAATGTGTCTGTGCCTCAGCATTCTCACCTGTGACGTGGGGGTGATGGACACTGCAAGGGGCTTGAGGGGCTTTGCAACGATGAGGGATGAGGTCCACACGGCCCCAGCTCAGTACCCTGCGCACAGCGGGCGGATGAGCAGTAAAGGGCAGCTATCACAGCGGCCAGTGGCACCCTATTTCTTCTGGAAGTCTCTGCTGACCTAAGGCCAAATTAGATAATCTTTGCTTAGGCATTAGGCCAGCGGCCTCCAACCCGGAAGCAAGGACACCACGTCTCGGCTTTGGTGGTCCCCTAGTGCCCAGTGAATCACCACATCTGAGCAAACCTCCCGGGAGCGTGTTGCCTTCCAGGTGCAGCTCCCAGCACCGTGTCCGCGGCTGGTCTGGGGTCCCTCTGCCTGTTCAGTGCTTGGGGCTGCAGGGGTGCTGACCGCTGGGCTGCGGGAGGGAGGCCCGCGGCGGGACGAGGAGGGGGGCTTGCTCAGGCGGACAGTGGAGGGGGAGCCGCACTTTCTGGCGGCGGAGGAGGGAAGCGGGGAAGCAGCTCGCGGGAGTCGGTCTCCATCTGCACCCTGAGGCCGCCTGCACAAGCCCAAGCCTCCTACGTCCGCCGGTGACGGCCGGAGCCCGAGCAAGGCGAGGAGAGGGGCTGGCAGGGGCGACTCTAGAAGCCCCGTCCCTGAGGACCCCGGCGGCAAAGCGGCAGAGGAGCGCCCCCTCCCCTCCCCGCTCCTCGAAGTCCCTCCCGCTGTCGCCCGCGGTCACCCGGGGCGGGCTCACCTGCGTAGGTAGGGATCCGTCGCGAGCCGCGCCCGAGGACCCGCGGAGCCGAGCCCAGACCGCCTGCTTGCGCGGCCGCAGCTGCCCCGGGCCTCTCCCCGCCTCGCGGCCGCCTCCGGGAGCTGCCCGCGGCGCCCCTCCCCCCTCTTCCTCCGCCCCTCTGCTCGCTCGGCAAGTGCACCCCACCCCCGCCTTTCTGCGCGAGTGACGTCAGCTCCCGCACGCAAGTGCACGGGCTGAAATCCTGCTCCGAGACGCCCACCCCTTGCCGAGTCCCGACACCTGGTAGATTCTCCCTCCCCGATGTTCAGAGAACTTGTTTCATCCCAACAATAACTGCAACAACTATCTACTGAACACCCTCCCTAGGCGAGTGTTTACCTGCACTTACAGGCGAGCTTGCCTCCCTCCCTTCCTTTTTTCTTCCCTCCCTTCTTTCCTTCTTCCCTCCCTCCCTCCCTTCCTTTTTTTTAGGTATAATTGACATACACCATTATATTAATTTCAGTTGTACAACTTCGTGATTAGATATTTGCATACATTGTGAAATGATCACACGAAGTCTAGTTAACGTGGCTCACTCTACAGTAACCAAAACCAATTTTTATTCCCCTTTTATTTTTGTTTATTTATCTATTTATTTAATTTTTTTAATATAGCTTATCATCAAGTTGGTTTCCATATAACACCCAGTGCGGGATGCAGACTTCTAAGGTCTACTCTCTAGCAACTTGCAAATAGGCAATGCAGTGTTATTAACTATAGTCTGTATGTGACATGCCCATGATGTACTTATTTATAATTGAATTTTGTACTTTTTGACCCCTTTCACTTATTTCACCCGACCACATGGAATCCTTTTTACAACCTGTAGAGCGAATTATCTTCATTTTATAGAGTAGGCAGGTGAGCTGTGCAAGGCCTGGAAATTTGGAGTCAAAGCTAGGTCAGCTTGGCTCCCAAGCCTTCTCTTTCTATCATTCTGTGTCCCTTGGTTCTGGCTCTCTGCCACTCCCAAACACTGACACTGACACTGAGGGAAAGCTGCTGGCTGCCTTTGTCGTCTATGTCACTCACCCCAGCCTCCTCATCCTTGCATGCTGAGAATCTTCCCCTGGGATGCCGGGCACTGGGGCTCAGAGAGTGTGTTGAGTTAGAAGACAGGTTGTAAGTCAAGTAGAAGGCCCCCATCATTTCTCATTGTTTCCTACCATCCTGATTGGTCTCTATGCCCCTGACCTCAGCCCCTCCACAGTGCTCACCCCCTCGCTGGCCCCTCCACCCCCCACCCAGTCTCCTTTCTATTCTTCCTTCTACAAGTTGATGCAGCTCTGCCCACCTGAGGCCTGGCATGGAGCCTCTCTCTAACTGAAGTCTCCTTCTCATCAGTCCTATCCTGGCTCGTTCATACTCATCTTTCTTTGACTTTTCCTCAGAAAGCCTGCCTTGACCCTCTGCCCCACCCAAAGTAGGTCTCCCTTCTCTTTCAAAGCAGATGCCCTGCTGTTTTCTTCCATAGTGCTTATCATGAGCTGTTATTATATACTTTTTAAAAGTTTATTTATTTTGGGAGAGAGACAGAGTGGGGGGAGGGAACGGGGAGAGAGAGAGAGAGAGAGAGAGAATCTCAAGCAGTCTCTGCACTGCCAAGAAAGAACCCACCACAGGGCTCCATCTCATGACCCTGACATCACAGGATGAGCCGAAATCAAGAGTTGGACACTTAACCAACCAAGCTTCCCAGGCGCCCCTGTTATTATATACTTATTAGTGAGCTTATTTTTTTTTAATTTGTTTGCTCTGCTTCAGTGTAATTTTCATGAGCTACAGAACAAGATGATATCTATTTTGTTCATTGGTGAATACTTAGCATCTCAGATATAGGAGCGGCTGAAAAACAGTTGTCGAATGAATGAGTGAAGGAGCCTGGATTCCAAGGCTGTCTGTTAAGATGCTGTTGTTTTGAAGGATCAGTGTTCTCTAGTACATACCCCAGACCACATTACTCTTTGCAATTTACCAGATTCTTTTCACCCCTTTTTCCTTTCCAAATGGAAGGGAATACCTTTTTTTTTTTTTTTTTAAGATTTTATTAAGAAATCTCTAAACTCAACGCAGGGCTTGAACCCATAACCCTGGGATCAAGAGTCACATGCTCTACCCGCTGAACCAGCCAGGTGCCCCAAGGCGATATCATTCCATTGTTACTTTTACATTGTGTTACTGGAAGACAGAAATAACCCTCTGCCATTTTCTGGTCTGAAAGGAACAGCTTTCTAACTGATTTTGTTTAAAAAAAAAAAATGAACAGCCTCCCATTACACCAAAGTCTAACTTTCAACAAATAACCTAGGGGCCTTTAACATCTTGCTAAAATAATATCCACATCCCAACCCTCATTTCTACTCTCCATCAGCATGTTCAGTTAATTGTTTTAAATAACTAGGAATTCTAGAAATTCCTCACTTAGTATTTGTTGGACAGATCTGGTGTACCCACGTATTGTTTTAGGCGCTTTCAGAGATAAAAGAGAAAAGACATGGATCTTTCCCACAAAGAATTTATCATTTCCTGAAAAATTAGAATGAAACGAGATGATTTGGGCCCTAGGAGGATATAACATTGAACAGAGCCCTTTTTTAGGCTTTGCTTCAGCATCCTACAGGGCCTTAGCATCATGGACCACAAAGATGATTATCATTGGCTAATGCTATGAAAAATGGGGCTGATTTAGAAAGTGCCAAAATGTTCACAGCAGGCTCCAGCTTGAACTCCTTCCATAGCCCTGTGCTGCCCTGAGGCGAGATCCAAATTCATTGGCAGGGCAGGTGGGATTCAGCTCCTGCCTGCAACTCTATGGAGTGACTGCTGTTTGCCCTTCTCAAGCTTTCGCCTTTGCTGGCACCTCAGCCTTCCTCTGCTTCACCACCCCTCTCTCGCTCATTCTTAAAGACTGGGTCTGGGGGTCACCTCCTCCTGGCAGCCCTTCCAGACTCAAATTTACTTTCCCACCTTCTGTGCCCTCATTGCACTCTGCAGCGGGTACTTATGATGCATAGGCATGTGCGCACATATCTATTATGCATGTATATATGCATATAAATTTACTAGGCATAACTGACATGTATTAAACACTATACGCTAGGCACTCTTCTGGTCTCTCTTCATATTTTAACTCCATCCCCACAGCAGGCCCACGAGAAAGGTGCTAGGAACCTATTCAGTCATATAGCCAGGAAGTGAGAACACCAGAATCTGAACCCAGGCTCTAGAGCCATGTGCTTTCAGAGCGATGCCACTCTTCTGTCCCTCCGCTGTCATCACACTGTGTTACAACTACTGATGTCATTCATTGCCAACTCTTGACTGTGGGCTCCTTGAGGGCAGGGGCCGATTTTGTTCAGTAACTGGGACATTGCATGAACTTGGGAACAAATAAATGAATTCAATGAGGCACAGAATGAAGAAATGAATAGTACCTAGTCCACAATTCTTTTCCTACATTTTACCTTTCTTCCTTTACAAAAGGATGGCAGGGCCTTCCATTTAAATTAATTAATTTATTATTTAATAGGAGGAAATAAAATTTGATTACATACATAATCAAATTCACATAAAATGTGAGTTTCCTGCAGGGCCTTTTAAACAACCTGAGAGGGGAGCCTGGGTGGCTCAGTTGGTGAAACGTCCAACTTTAACTCAAGTCATGATCCTGCGGTCCGTGAGTTCAAGCCCCATGTCGGGCTCTGTGCTGACAGCTCGGAGCCTGGAGCCTGCTTTGGATTCTGTGTCTCCCTCTCTCTCTGCCCCTCCCCCACTAGCTCACTGTCTCTCTCTCTCTCTCTCAAAAATAAATATAAATAAACATTAAAAAAATATAAGCAACCTGATAAATAGGGATTATCATTCTGACTTCACATGCAAGAAAAATCAGGCCCAGAGAAGGTAACTAACATGGCCAAGGTCATAGCTGGGAGTTGGTACACCCAGGATTCAGACTTTAGTGGCTTGGCTCCAGATTCATGCTCTTAACCTTTGCAATTGATTATGTATGTCACTGGGGCGCCTGGGTGGCTCAGTCGGTTAAGCGTCCGACTTCGGCTCAGGTCATGATCTCACGGTTCGTGGGTTCGAGCCCCATGTCGGGCTCTGTGCTGACAGCTAGCTCAGAGCCTGGAGCCTATTCCAGATTCTGTGTCTCCCTCTCTCTCTGACCCTCCCTTGCTCACTCTATTTCTCTCTCAAAAATAAATAAAACATTAAGAAAAATTTTTTTTAAAAATTATGATTGTCACCAATAGCCTCACTGGGCAGAAGAGATGCATAAACTGATACAGAACAGGAGATAGATACAGAGAGAAGCTTGGGCAGGAGGTGGCAGGGACAGCGGCCCAGCAGCAGAGGGAGGGAGGCGGGAAAGAGCACTAAGCCATGTGGCTGGCCCTCCTGAGGGTGGGAGGGGTGGGGATGGATTAAAAATGCACGCAGGACTCCAGATCAGCCCCACGGGGAGCTCCGGGCTCACTCACAACCACCTCTTCTCTGCTGGGTAACAGGGGCTGTGGCTGGCTTCCTGGCAGGGAAGTTTCCTGGGGTGTGTGTAGTGGGGGTGGGGGTGGGGCATGTCGGGTTGTTGGATGACATCAGAGGGACCAGAGCAGCCCTCACCTGCCTGTCATCCTTTTTCTTACCCCAGCTCTCCACTTGCCATCTGCCTAGTTCTGTGAGAGGCTCCGTGAATCACAAGATCTCGTGAGTCACTCATTCTCTCTCTGAGGAATAAATAATGTCAAGTCTCACCAAAGCACAGAGAGGTTGGGTTTAAATGAGGTGTCACACAAAGACCCAGCACAGGGTCTGCTTCCCTTTATGAGCTGACGCTGCTGACAGAAGAGGCATGTCGCCAGGTCTCAGCTTGAGCTTTTGGGCCATCAACCCAGAGCCCTGACTGCTTTAGGTTCGTCTAGATTTCATGTTGAGACTGCTTCAGCAAGAACAAAACATCTCCAGAGATCATAATTTCTCCCAACCGGAGAAAATCTGCAATATGAACATGAGTGCACGTGGATTTGGTTGTGTCTCCAGTCCTCCCTGAGACAGGCTCATCCTTTATTTCCCTCACGAATGCTGATACCAGATATTCTGCA